ATCTAAATATGTAGAGGAAAAATATTTCTTTTGCAAAAATTCATATGACAACATTGGTATGATATAACCAAACATGTAAGATTTCATGTGGATGATCTTCGAACATAAGTTTAGCCTTCGGCTACGATTGTAGTTTAGCCTTTGGCTACGATCACACAGTCGTATATTATCCTTTAGCTATAATCACTTGGTCATAATTTAGCCTTCGGCTACGATCACACGGTCATAAGTTAGCCTTCGGATATGATCACACGATCATAATTTAGCCTTCGAGGCGATCATATGGTATTCGACCATGGGTTTTGGGTTTTTAACCCTCCGTCTTGGGCTTTGGCCATAATTCAATCTAGGGTCTTTGACCCTCAGTCTTAGGCATTCGGCATTTTATGATCTTTGTGTTTACTGCCTAAGTTTGTGTTCGATCTCGATCCTTTTGACCCCATTTGGTCTTAAGTTTCAATTTTAATTCGGTCTTAACCCATTTGATCTTGGGTTTTCGATCTTAATTCGGTCTCAATCCATTCGATCTTGGATTTTCGATCTTAGTTCGGTCTCAACCCATTCGACCTTGGATTATCGATCTTAGTTTGGTCTCAACCCATTCGATCTTGGGTTTTCGATCTTAGTTCGGTCTTAACCCATTTGATCTTGGGTTTTCGATTTTGATTTGGTCTTAACCCATTCGGGTTATTGATCTTAATTCAGTCTTAACCCATTCAATCTTGGGTTTTTTTATCTTAATTCAGTCATAGTCCATTCGGGTTATCACTCTTGATTCGGTCTTAACCTGTTTCATCTTGGGTTATCGATCTTAATTCGGACTTAACCCATGTGAACTTCGATTTTCAATCTTAAATTTTGAGACGTTAGCTTAATTTTATATTTTTTATCATTGGTCTCTAATTCATAGATACTAGATAAATCATTCATAAGCAATCATTCTAGTAATAGTGGAAAAAAGTTGGACCTTAGCACGTACGCAAGTTAGTGCGGCACCCATAGTTGTTGCGCCTTAAACATTCACATGTTGGATTCTTCTATTCGAACATTCCTCTCAGGCAACTTCGTCGCCAATGGAGTTGATGTAGAGTGTTCTTCTTTTGCTCAGAAGTCTTGAGTACACTACCTATAAGTGGCTTTTCAATATTCTCATATCCCATGTCCTGATTACACAAATGTCTTCAACAAATTTTTGTTAGACTCAACTTGGTCAAGCAAAAGTTTTGTCCCTTTGTGAGAATTACTTGTGCATATAAGAGCAATTCAACTCTGCATATTCACATATACATATTGATAGCATTGTCCCAAGGTTATGAAATACATGTAGTAAAAAAATCACTAACTGTGTTGGTGTTCAAGTGAGGCATGAGAGTGTATCTTCTCTACAATATATCAATAAGCAATGAACCCAGATCCATATATCAAATAAGTAAAAAAATCTAGTTCAAGTGAGGTATGGGGGCCTGCACTCCTGATGTCAATGGATAATGAATCAAGTTCCACATATTGACATGCATTGAGAGCTATGCAAGGAGAAACAAAAAAAAAGAAACTAGTATATTTATATGGGAGCTTCAACTTCCACAAGCAAAAGCAATGCAACCACATCAATTTTCACACTATCTGCAAGTCAGTGTATGCAGTAGTCATATTATAGTTTCATGCAATGTCATGTATATAACTTCCATTGAAGTTGATATACCAGAGTGTGTCATGTCCCATGAATAGCATTGCTTTCCTGTTATATTAAGCCTATGAAGCTTAATGGAAATTGACCGCTCAGAAAATATTTGATAATTGAAAATCATTTCAATGTCCTATTGTCAAAAATTAGAATATGGTGAGAAGTCTTATCTTGTTAGGTGACTAAGAAATTCCTCTAACACCTACAATGTTATAACCTATAACAATATCGTTTCATGCAAATGAGATTGTAAAAGAGGGGGCCAAAAGAATTCTTCTCTTAGAGGCTTTAACTTGCGCCATAAGTTCGGTCTTCGACCATGGAAATGATACTCGGTCATGAGTTCAGCCTGCGGCCATGATTGCACCTTGGAGTTGAATATTAATTGCCCTCACTATGCAAGCTATTGAACACATAATGCAGGGATGTGCATTACTTATTTCCTTCTTTTCTCATCTACAGATAACTCTTGAGACAGTGCCTTACATTTAATGCACCTTGTGAGAATTAGACATCTGAATGTTAGTTGCTTGCCCTCATTGGATCTGCTCCATTCAGTAGACAACGAATATGAAAGCATGAATTATGAATAATTTTATTGTCGTTCTTGGTAAATGTCTTTTTCAATTACAACCATCATACATAACCTAGACTAGAAGTAGCAGCTCTATTGCCTTGAGCTCCTGCCTCTCTCTATTGGTTATTAAAAATTTCACTACACAAATATGACTTTTGCACAATTGGACGACTGCATACGTTACTGGAAAACTTAGATACCTATCAATGACATTTGAGAATTTTAAACATTTCATTTGTACAATTCAAAGCCATGAAGGGATGATACTCGTTCCCTCATCTTAAGCTGTATTAAAGAAGACCCATAGTAAAATGTCTTACCATACCATTTTGTTACATGCTATGATAAAAATGCATACTTCAGGCAATAACCTTGAAATAATAAAAGAGAAGAAATCTTCCTTGCATGGGGTTTAGATCATGCTCCATTTCCAATTAATTGGTGCTTAATGGCTTTATTAGCTCCTTTGAATTAGCATTGTTCGATGGCTCCAAGCCTGAGACTAACCAATCGTCTCATTTTAACAATGAAGTGGATTGGAGCAGTCGCGGGGGACAAAAACTCGCATGCTGATGGGGATGAGTTGCGTTGCTTCAGCCTAGTTTCACTTTCAAGTTTTCAACACTTGGATTGTCAAAGGTCCTTCTCCCATTCAATTGCTTACTAACAAATTGTTTCCTATTATTTGAATTGCTGGTAAGGGTTTCACCTTTTTTGTCACACCGAACGAAAGAAATATCATCGTTAAAAGCACGCCCCCCACTCTGATGGTTTGTCAACCATATCATAACTGAATGCTAATACTGCGTACATACACCGATATGAAATGTGGTTATACTCGAAATTTACGGACTTTTTAATGGAAAATTCTGAAGTGAGTGAATCTCTTTCCTCTTGTGCTACTGCACGAAGTGCAATGACAAAAGGCCATAAATTTCATGAAATTGTATAAGAAATCATAAAACTTATCTGTTTGGGGCCTTTGACTCATGCCCACTTTGTAGAATAAACAACGTCCATGGAGCAGCGGGCAAGGATGGAGGCTCATACGCTGCCAAAGTTGGTTGGTGCAACGCTGAACTCTGAATCATTACTTTATACCAGGACTCCAAATTAATAACAACAACTATTAGTATATATAGTTGATATTTAATTAGGATTATATTATCATAAAAGTTATTTTAATTTCTTGCTAATAAATACTACATAAATTCTCATCTTCTTGTTCGCGTGATGTACGTCGTGCCCCAAATTCTCGGCTAGTCTCACGTCCAGCAACCATCATGCATTTCTGATTTGTCTTTCTTCCTTCAACACTCACCCATAATCCATCCTAGGTCGCTTGCGACATTGTGACTTTTCTTGCCAATTCGTGAAATCATAAAGGGGGCAGAGAATTTTCGTTGTTGGGGGTTTTAATCCATGCCCCCATTGTAGCTTAGATGGCGTTCACGGCTTCTCCATACGGTTTATTAAGTTTTCTACAGACGACGCCAACTATTGGACTAGAAAAATTCAGATCTTCCAATCTTCCAACAAGTAAATCATGTAACTGTGATGAGAAGTCCACGACGCCATCTTCGCTCGCCATCAATAAGGGAGGAGGGGACCTGCAAAAAAACACTCTGACACTCAAGTTAGTCTTTGTTCAAAATAATTGCAAGACATTGTAAAACTATCTGATACTTCCCTTTTTTCCTTTGTTCTCGTGGGATTCTAGTTCCTTTATAGACATATAATACTTGGGCTCCAAGTTCCACTTTCCCTCTATTTCTCCATATACCATATTCCATAGAAGTGTTTGATCATGCTCTTTTATTCTAGCTTCACTCCCCCAAATTTAGATTGCGGCTCATTGCTTGAGCCTTAATTTTTGCACCCACAATGTTAAACAACAACTTTGGCTCGAAATAGTCTCATCCATAAGAGCCTCCCTCCCATAAGGCAAACATGACCACTAGATGTGCTGCCGTATTACAAATACGAGGAGCAAAAATGACATCTACTGACCTTAACCACTGCTTCCCATATTGAATATCAAGAAGGAGTGCATCAATTGCAACATTTGGTTGAGCCTTGCCGTTAATCATATCCACACTTCTTTTAGAATCTGATTCAATTTGAACTGCATCAAACCCCATATCAATACAAACCAACAAAGCCACGCGCACCGATTCCGCATTTGCCATTAGACTAGATTTGCATGAGAAATTCCCCACTCCCTCAGCCCCCTAAAAAATGCTTGCGAACTTCCGTACCACCCATCCATACCCTCCTCGTCCGGATTTCTTTAACCACGTACCATCACAATTTACTTTCATAGTCCCGAAGGATCCCCATTACTAACCTTTTGTTGCCGATGCACCTCATCCAGCAATGGCTCTAAGTAGTTGTTTGGCTTCCTCAAATTTCCCCCATTGTTGTTTCAATAAGCTAATTTCTTTCATGGGTTCCACCATTTTTTTTCTCAAAGACTAAACTATATACTCTTTGGTTGTATAATTTTTTGGGAATGAAATCTACCCTTTGACCTAAAAAAAGTCAGTGTTCCATCAACAACTGCATGGTCTCCACGGGTAGACGAAAGACCTAATCACATGCCACGTGCCTCGATCAACGGCCACGTGCCCATGCAAACAGACAACGTTACTTTCTTTCCGGATTGGAACGCCTACTCTCTCGTTTATCTAAACCCAATTTTCTTCTATTTTCCTTTCAATTCAATGCAAATCTAACAAAATGTTCAGAAAAGCTTTCGTCTTCTTCTTCTTCTTCTTCTTCCTCCTTTCTGTTTCTGTGTCTTTGCATGCAGCAAATGCACTGAAAAATGAAGGGGAAATTGGTTCAGGCGGCGAAGGTGGTGCTCCGGCTGGGTCTCTGGTGAAGAAAGATCAACGGCGGTCGCTGGTTTCGACTGAGTACGGAGAGGTCTGGTCCGTTGATGTGAATGACGGACACAGGAAACCCTACCATATTCAGTTCATTACTTTGGAACCCAACTCACTCTTCCTTCCTGTTCTTCTGCATGCAGACATGATTTTCTATGTCAACACAGGTAACAAGTATTCCATCAAATGATTACTAGGAGCCAGGCTGGTGTTGTTAGAGAAGTGTTTATGTTGTTGATTGTGAATATGAAACCGACATTTACAATATTTACCCTTTCATTGCGTTGGGAATTGCTTATATATATATATATTGCCCTCCTATGAATCTGAAACATAAATAACCATATTTCACCATCTTGAAAAATGTTTATGCTGTATGCATGTAAATCTGAACACTTGATGAAATGGTTCAAATTCATGGTCCAAGAAATGCATGTACTTATGTTGTACGATTGTGAATCAGAAAGTTTGACAAATGGCCCAAATTCGCAATCTAAGAAATGCTTACGAATCTGAAACTTGATTAATGGTCCAAATTTCAAGTCCAAGAAATACTTATGTTTTCCGACTGTGAATATAAAACCCTGATGAAAACATCTTAATTCATTTTTATGTTGTGAGGGAAAATTTCCTTAATTTTGATCCTATACAATTGTACAAACAAAGGCCCACGTACAATAGCAACTCATCTCCATTAGAGGGTATATGTTAAGAGTATTAATAAGTGTGCCAGTTTTGCGGGTATAAATAGTTTTATTATGATAAAATTACAATTTATTTTATCTTAGTTGGTCTTCTTATTGTTGTTTTTTGGGTGTTAGGGAGTGGGAGGTTGAGTTGGACTGATGATGATAAAATTAGGAGAGTGGATATAAAGAGAGGTGATCTCTATAGGCTCACCCCTGGCTCTGTTTTCTTTGTACAAAGTAACTTAGAGACTGAGCGCCAGAAGCTGAGAATTAATGCAATCTTTACAAGCAACTCTGATGATGACTTATATGTAAGAAGGCCTATTTCTGATTCTTTTTCTTTGTTACTTTCGTAATTTACCATAAATTGTTAGGACATTTTCATCCATTTTTATCAAAATTTCCTTTTTATTATGACGACAAAACTTGTGCAGGATCCAGCAGTAGGGGCATACTCCAGCATTAGGGACCTGGTCCGAGGATTTGATCCGAAATTGCTTCGGTCAGCTTTTAAGGTATGAGCCACTCCAACCCAGAATCAAACAATGGAAGTTCTCATTATGTCATCAGAAATAAGCATTTTTAGTTTCATGCAAAATGGTTGTTGATTATTAGGTCTCTGAGGAAGTGATAGAATCAATAGTAAATGGAACGGACCAATCCGCCTTTGTCCATGCAATTCCAACAAAGAAAGAAACTTTCTGGGATTTGGAGGCTCGATTCCTCAAAACGTTTCTACTAGGAAATGATGGCATTGCATTCAACAGTAAGAAGAAGGAGGAAACAACAGCATATAATATTTTTGATGAGGATCCGGATTTCAAGAATTGCAATGGTTGGAGCCTAACTGTGAACAAGAAAAGCTCCCACTTGTTAAAGGGATCAAACATTGGTTTTTTCATGGTGAATTTGACAAAGGTCTGTCTTTGATCTAATGTTAATTAGAGTGTATAACCAGTCGAATGCTTTAATTTTAATTAATGTGGAATTTTTTTATTTATTTTTTGTTTATTTAAGGGGTCAATGATGGGGCCTCATTGGAATCCAAGGGCAACTGAGATAACAGTAGTACTACAAGGGCACGGGATGGTTAGAGTGGTTTGTTCAAGCACCGAAGCAAATAAATCGGAGTGCAGAAACATGCGGTTTAGGGTTCATGAAGGAGATGTATTCTCTGTGCCTAGGTTCCATCCAATGGCTCAGATGTCATTTAACAATGACTCTCTTGTGTTCATGGGGTTTAGCACAACAGAAAAGAAAAACTATCCTCAGTTTTTGGCCGGAAAATACTCGGTTCTGCAGAATTTGGACAAACTAGTCTTGGCGGCGTCGTTTAATGTTACCAGCACAACCATTGATCAGCTTTTGTCTGCACAGGCTGATTCGTTTATAATAGATTGTACTTCTTGTGCTGAAGAAGAGGAGAGAGCGATGTTGGAAGAGATAGAAAAGAAAAGGGAGGAAGAGGAAGCTAAGAAGAGGGAGGAAGAGGAAAAAGAGAGACAGGAGGAAGAGAGAAAGAGGGAAGAAGAGGAAAGAGAGAGACAGGAGGAAGAGAGAGAGAAGGAGGAGGAAGCAAGTAAACGAGAAGAGGAGCAAGCGGCGAGGGAGCGAGAGGAGCAAGCGGCTAGGGAGCGAGAGGAACAAGCGGCTAGGGAGCGAGAGGAGCAAGCGGCGAGGGAGCGAGAGGAGCAAGCCGCAAGGGAACAAGAGGAGCAAGCCGCAAGAGAGAGAGAGGAGCAAGACGCAAGGGAACAAGAGGAGCAAGCCGCTAGGGAGCGAGAGGAGGAAGCGGCGAGGGAGAGAGAGGAGGAAGCCGCAAGGGAACAAGAGGAGCAAGCCGCAAGAGAGAGAGAGGAGCAAGACGCAAGGGAACAAGAGGAGCAAGCCGTAAGGGAGAGAGAGGAGCAAGCAGCAAGGGAGAGAGAAGAACAAGAAGCGGCAAGGGAGAGAGAAGAACAAGAAGCAGCAAGGGAGCGAGAAGAACAAGCAGCAAGGAGAGAAGAGGAGGGTAGGCAACAAGAAGAGGAGGGCAGGCAAGGAGGCGATGAAAGAAGACACGAGGAAGAAAGAGAGAGGGAGAGGAGGCAACAAGAGGAATGGGAAAGGCGAGAGGAAGATGCGCAGAGGGAGCAGGAAGAGGCTCGAAGACAACAACAAGAAAGGCAAGGCAGAGCAGGACAACCAGAGGAGCAAGAGGGTGGAGGCGGAGGCTTCAATGCGGATGAGGGAAGGAGGTATCTGAGTGCATTGAAGGTTTAACTGAGATCTAGTTTCTCTAGTTAGCTCGTCTGTTCTGTCTTTTGAGTTTGGGTTGGTGCATGTTTTGTTAATAGAATAATAACTTTTGCTGCCTCCTATGTCTAAGTTTAGGTACGTTTTTTAATGTAATAAACTTCTATGGCCTAAATCCAAAACAAATTTTACTTTAATTTAGATAAGAGAAAAATAGAAGATAAAGGTCATTAACTTGTACATAAGAAACATAACTTGTTTAAAGAATATTTGATCACACACTGAATCGAATATTTAGCGTAGTCAAATTGACTAAATTTAGCGTAGTCAAATTGACTAAATTTAGCGTAGTCAAACTACATTTAGCGTAGTCAAATTGACTAAAACAAATGGTAATCCCTAAAAGTAAGTTTGAACTCCTCTTAGTTGAAATAAATTAAAGTAAAATATCATCCTCCTCCGTGTATTTTAAATTAGATTAATGTAAATATCGTCCTTTTCAAAGAAAAATAGTTTGTTAAATTACACTTTTAGATTTCTAAAAAGGAACTTATTTAAAGTGAAAATGCATAATGTTTGACACTAATGAAAATCATATCTCAGATAGCAATCGACAAAACCCATGGAATTACAGCTCTATGTGGGTTTCATGGAAAATCAAGAGTAATGAGCTTCTCAGCTCCACCAGCCACCTTACAAACAGATGTGAAGAACAGATTTACAAACGAAATGGGTTCTCTAAGCCCGATTACAAGACTCACTCACTCACACCTTAGTGGGGCCAGTTACATAGGACACAACAACGGTAAGGTCATCAAGCTTGCCTCCGTAATAACGGAACCCTGCTTCTTGAGCTGCCGTTGAAAATGGTGTCTGCCTGTTCTTATCCAGTGCTCGCTGGCGCGCCAGAGCCGCTATCTTCTGAGCAGTTACCTGTGGTGCCAAGCCAGCTCTTACCGCATGAACGACAACAGCAGTAATCTCGTTGTTATACAAGTTGTCAAACAACCCGTCCGTTCCTGCTATGATGACATCCCCAGAGGCAACAGGAATCAAAAATACCTGGTGCAAGTTGAGTCGCAATTAGAAGCTAGTTGGTCAAGGAATTTTACAATGGGAAAGTGACATACTGTAACATTTTCGTTAACGTCACATCTAAAGTAAGAGTGATGGGGATAAGAAACCTTTAAGCTCACGACGATTTCACAAATTTTGGGATTAAGAAAATACAATATATCATATCTTAAGGCTAGTTCTCCACTGCAAGTATATCGGAAGCAGCGGTTTTAGAAAGTATGCAGTCAAAGCAAGTTCATTCAGGGGTGGCTGTGTTTTACTTTGGTTACGCAAGTGACAACTATTATGGCACTCAATAATTGACTGACCTGTCCAGAGCTTGGTAAATCAGCCCCACTGCCACTTTCCAGCTGATATGTAAAATTGAAGCCATGTTGCTGCACGGGGGATTGGAAGACGGTACATCCATCTCTAACAACTAAGAATCCACTGTCCCCAAGATTAATAGCTTGTAGTCCCTGTTAGAAGTAGAATCAAGTGAGAAACGCGCTCATTTTTACCATATGTAAACGTTTCCTGGCTTATTACTCTCAGGAAACCACTCAAGGAATCTTGCAGACCAGCAAAAATGTTGTTCTAACTTTCATCATGCATACTGTTCAAGTTTGAATCACCAGGGCTGAGCATCTCCAGCCTATATTTGATCTCTACTATACATATATTTCAAGGTTACTCGATATACTTTCACTTATATACAAGTAAGGCTTGCAACTTAACATGCCAAGCCAACAGTCAATTGAAGGAAGTAATTATGTGGTGTTCGTCAATTTGTGGTTTTCTACAAAGCAGGTATGGTCTATGACAAGACTCTTGAACCGTTCTATAATTAAGTCCAGTTTAGGGAAGTAATTACGTTCTTCCTTGACACATTCCCAACCCTGATTTGCATATAGTAATGGATAGACAATAAACACTAAGATCATTTCTGTAAATTTATTTCAGAAGTATAAGGCAGGCACAGATGATTGTCTCTACAAACCAGGTCACATCTTTCTTAAATAATCAAAATGAAAAAAGCATCCCGACAATAAATTTTAGAGGTCGGCAGGAATGGTTAGTCAAACTGAAAACAACAAACCTTTTCCGTTAGGCCAATGATGCAAGCTGTTGAAGAACCCTTTGCTTTGGTGCATGAGTGGGCCTTCTCCAACACCCTGGCAGGGTCAAAGCAGCCCTCAGGCTCCTCTTGAATAGCCCTCACTGAATGAGACATAAGTTCACGAGAAAAGTATCCTGCATTGACACCGACATCTGCCCATCCACCCACACCATCTGCTACACCAATTGCTTGTGCATCTTCACAAATAAAATGGGCATCCTCTCCTCCTGTCGCCTCCTTATCTGGATGTGGCAGGTAACATGATCCTGAAAGCAGCTTCAGAGCTTTTGGTCTGAAAATGAAACCAAGCAATATACATCAAAAGGCCTTTTCACAGATAAGCCCTTGATAAGAATACACTTTAGAGAAAAAAACTTCAAACCCAATGCTTTAGATTAACACCCTTCTTACTTTGCAATGGTAGAAGAGCAGTAAAGGAATTTTGCAACTATGAATTAATTAGAACATGACAAGTGGATAACAATGGGGGGTTTTGCCCAATTGAGTTCTTGAAATGTTTTTATATCAAATTTATTGTTGTGGGGGTGTGTTTTCTAATTTGCTATATATACAAGCATCAAGGACACCAATCGCCTATATTGGTTTGAGATTGTTCTTGCTCAATTCAAAAGAAGTAAACACTAATCAAGCCCGTGTGTTCTACCTTCTGGGACTTGCCAAGTTCAAATTTTTTTTCCAAATAAATAAACGAACAAGCGAGCACACAAGTGCACAGAAGATAACCCTTAATTCCTTTCCAAACAAAAAGAATTGAATCCATGAGTGTGGAGCATATGAAAACACACTGAAGACTCTTAAGATAATGAAAATGAAGGCCAAACAACAAAAGAGGCAAAGTAAACAACAGATGAGAGCACATACTGGTCAGACAAAATGGTGGAATTTGCGGGTTGTTCATCATTGGAGTTTCCATCAAATGTCACATTATGAGCAGCACCAGTAGCGTAGCACATAGAAGATGTGGTATAAAAATTTCTCAACCAAGGACCAACATGCACAGAGATCAGACGGCTGTTGAATGATTCCTTTTTTCTCAAACTCAAGCTGGCTTTCTGGAAACTGCTCTGCCGTCTATCATTAAAATAAACACCCGTAGGTTTTGACAGGTCTAATGAATTGCCGCAACTTGAAATTAAGTCATCAACATAAACGTCTCCAAAGACAGGTGCCGAACTTGAAGCAGCCATAAATTTTCCCTTACGCAGAGGACTGGAACTATGTCTAGTTGCGTCTGATATCAAAGGGGTTGAATACGGTAAACTACAAGACAACCCTAAACTCCGAGACAAGAATTTCCCACGACAAGGTAGTAAAGTTTTGGAATTTCCTGGCCTGCTCCCGCCAATCACTCTCCAAATACTAGAACATACAGCAGTGTTCACCTTGGGAAGTATCCCGGACCGCATTTTAGCTCCTTATGTAAAATACCCTTGATTCAATCGCCCTCCCAAAGAAAACCAGACCCGAAATTTGATATAGAAGACAAAGTCTCATCACTCTCAGCACATCTAATTTACCACATTAACCTAAAACCTACTGCTCCTGAGTCTGTTCAACTCCGGGCCGAGGCGTATGGCTCTTTAACCTGAAAAATGGTAACAAAAAATTGAATTTCATCACAAAGATGTGAGCTTTTAGCTACATACACAATAACAACGCTTAAATATCCCCTAAATTTTGATTTTTTTTTTTACCATAATTAGGCAACTTTTCTTAATAATCTCTACAAATTTCAGTTACCATCATACATTATTACACGAAAAATCCACTTCTGAGCAAAAACACAAGGTACCCATATCACAAACGAATTACAACGAATAAAAAAAAATCGAACTTGGAAGCATGAGAGCATTGTTTTGCCATGGAATGTAAAAGCAGCTGAGAGGATAGCAGAAAAGACGCACCGTTTTGGAGCTGGAGAAGGAGAGATGGGCAATCGATGCTGGAACAGAATCCGACCCGAGATATAGAATTGGATAAACGAAGCTCCGAAGATGTTATCTTCGTCGATTTGGGTTGAATCCTCGGAGTTTCGTTATCCCCAAATCTGTGTTCTTGGGGTTGTTGTATGTTGGCGTTATGCTTTAGGAGGATTGGGGAGAGAGAGAGAGAGAGAGAGAGAGGTTAGGAGGCGCATAAGGTTCACAAAAACGCCAGAGAGGGAGGGCACGTGGGAAGGAAGCTTTTGAGCCAAAAGTAAGCAAACAAATTTGGAAGAAACAAATTTAAAAGATCAGCGTGGGGTCTATATGCACAAAAATTAAATAATTTTAATTTTTGTGATATTTTAACGTATATTTTATTATTTAAAGAATTGAAAAGTTATTAGTGTTTCTTGGATTTTAAAAACAATGAACAAGAGGTATTTTTTATTGTGCAAAATCAGAAAGTGAGTACACCTGATTTAGCTAAATCTAGAACTTTAAAGATATTCTTTTTCATTCAATACTAGGATCTAATGATATTCTTCACTTGTGAGTGAGAGGTGCTAGGTTCGATTCTCGCTAAAAACAAATTTTAACCATATTATTGCTAACCTATTATGAGGCTAAATCCACCCCTTCTTACTTAATGTAAATAATATCGTTTATTTAAAAAAATCTATAAATTTAATGTGTTTCTTCGTTTTTAAAACCCAAGAAAAATTAATGAGATGTTCATTGTTTTTTAAAACAACAAAACATGTGTTATTTATCATTGGACAAAACTCAAAAGGTGAATCTCACTGGTGAGTATCTATGTATTATCCACCTAATATTAGACTTTTCACTTATAAATGACAAACAATACTATTAAATAGTATCGATAAACAAAAGTAAATTTTTTCTTCCACAGTAGGCCAGAAGAAGTGAGTATAATCCCAATATATTAAACTCATATAAGAATCATACTCTTATAGTGAACCAAAAAATTTAAGTGTGATACTAATATATAGAACTTGTAGTTCAATATATTAAACTCATGAGTGTGATGTAAATATATTTAACTCACACTAGTGTAGCAGTAGTGTTATACGTTTCAAATTCAGGTTGCTTGATTCCTATAAATAAGTATCACAATCACTCAA